CAGAACTACTTTTAAAAATTCCATTAGGCACCTATTCGCATTTTTAGATACCTACATACCTTTAAAAATCTGGGCTGTACTCCTATGGTTATAAGCTGCAGGGGGTAGCCAAGTTAGTCTGTACAGGATAAACTTAAGTTGTTGTTTTTGAAGTTTATCCCATGGTTGTTGGACACACCTTAAGCACGTCCTTCACATTCAGCAAGTGTTTCGATGCTTTGCTGAATGTGGATCGGATGCTTCAGTGCTTGGCCGATCCAGGGCCTTCATCCTCCCATAAAAGAAGCGGGAACCTCAGGTGTTAGCAGGTTGTTTCTCTGTCTCCAGCAAGTAGGGATCCTCTTTTAGGAGTCAGCCACACCTAACTCTGGGCCTTGCTCGTGAAGATACGTGTGCACAGAAGCTAGGCGGGAGTGGGTAATTCCCAGCAAGACATAGACTTGCTAGCTCACATCAAGTTAGTGCGCTAAATGTAGCAATCATAGTATAGAAGGTGGTAGCTCCGGATAGTGCTGAGTACATAATTAGGTCTTGGATGGTGATTGTACTTGGGTGGCTAGCCTGAGCCATTGGGCCCATGTTGTGATTTTTAGTGCACCAACTCAATCCCATTGGCTATGTCTACACTCGCAGCTTCTTGCATGAGAAATATGCAAATGAGGCTAAGCATGGACTATCGCCGAGCCTCATTTGCATACCTAATGAGCCGCCATTTTGCAGAAGAGGCTCTTGTGCCAGAAGGAGCATCTACACTGCCCCTTATTGCACAAGAAACACCCTCTTGTGCAATGCCGCTACACCGATCATTTTCAGGAATAATGGCATTGCGCAAGAGGGTTTTTCTTCAGTAAGAAGGGGCCGTGTAGACAGCTCCTTCTGGCGCAAGAGCCTCTTCTGCAAAAATGGCGGCTCATTAGGTATGCAAATGAGGCTCGGCGATAGTCCATGCTTAGCCTCATTTGCATATTTCTCATGCAAGGAGCCGTGAGTGTAGACATAGCCATAGTGCGCGAACTTCTACCCAGGTTGGGAATTCGGCCTCCCCGCTGCTGTGCAGATATGCCATAGAGCAGTGTTTCCCAATTTTATTTGGCCACGGAACCCTTTTAAACTCGGAAAAATTTCAAGGAACCCCTACAGCTGGGGGAGAGTGGGGAATTTGTTGAGCAAAAAAAAAAACCCCACTACTGGGGAGTGGACCAGGGAGACTAAAATGTGGTCACGCATGTCCCGAGCAGGCTTTGGAAACACAGAGTGGCAGCAGGGGAGGGGATGCGTCTGAAAGCCGACGGGAAACCAGAGAAGGAAACGGCATCTTTGCACTGTCTCCTCTCGGTCCCTTTAAGTGGGGGAAGGGCAGAGTGATCGACTTCTCGCGGAACCCTCACTTTCATTTCGCGGAAGCCCGGGGTTCGGCAGAGCATCTTTTGTGAAACACGGCCCCAGACTGTAGGCAATGACATATCCCAGCTGCTCTGTCCACGGAGGCCTTGAGTGACGAGTCTGTTTTCACGGTGGCACTAGTCTGAGAGACTGAGGGCACACAGGTTTTGGACACAACCCTTGCATTTTATAATGCCAGTAAAAAAGCTTAGCGGCACAGAGGGTGTTATCCCGGAAGAAAAGGCAGCATAATGTCCGTCTTTGGTGGGTGTGGCTGGCACCGCTAGTGAGAAGCACTTAGCTGGCCTTGAGTGACGAGTCTGTTTTCACGGTGGCACTAGTCTGAGAGACTGAGGGCACACAGGTTTTGGACACAACCCTTGCATTTTATAATGCCAGTAAAAAAGCTTAGCGGCACAGAGGGTGTTATCCCGGAAGAAAAGGCAGCATAATGTCCGTCTTTGGTGGGTGTGGCTGGCACCGCTAGTGAGAAGCACTTAGCTAATACCAAATACCAGGTGTTTACAACCCTGCTCTGCCTTGAAGGTGGACTAGACCAACTTCTTT